GATGTCCCAAGTCCACCCTGTGGGAGACACTCAGCCAGGACCAAATGCCCTCAAAGTATCTCTGTAACCAGCCTCAGACTGGACAGGACCTGAGTGGTCCAGTAGAAAGCACATTCCTTGGGAAACCAGAGTGCCTTCTGGGACACCAGGCCTCCGAAGGGTCCTGGCTCAGCCAAGACTGTGGTCACTGCTGGCCCCAGCCTGGCCTGCACGCCCCTTCCTGAGGGGCCCTCAGTGCCAGGGAGGCAGCCCCATGAACAATGCTCTGCTCTGTTCTTGCCCTGGAAGGGGGTGGTTAGTTCAGCCGCACCTCACACCAGCTGGGGAGCCAATGCTCCTCGGCTCACCTCCACTAACTGGAGCCTTCAGGCCTCAGGGGAAACACAGACACCCCACAATTAGCACCCTCCGGACTCCCAGACAAGCCACAGCTCAGAGGTCAGGAGTTAGGGCCAGAATGACTTTAGGAGCCCTAAAGATGGCACCTCAGCAGAACCAGCCACAAACACCCAAAACCCCACCCCAACCAATGTCATTGCTCAGACCCTCTGACCAAGCCTTAGTCCTCATTTGGTGAATGAGAAGGGCTCAGAGAGGCTAGGCAGCTGGCCTCTGGTCACACAGCTAGGAAGCAGCAGAAGTGCAACTCAGACCCAGGTCTGTGAGCCTCCGGTGTCTATGGTCTTAATCATGGCACCAAACTGCGCTTTAGAAATCCCCAGGTGACAATAAGTCCCAGGGCTCAGGGTGCCCTGCATAGATTTCAGGACACAGAAACACATGCATGGGCACACACGTGTGTACACACATGCACGCGCATACACACACCTTCCTTAGCAGCCAGCCCTGCCAAGGACAGCCTTTGAAAGGACCCGGAGACTCTGCAGGCCCAGGTCCTCCCTCACCTGGGAGGGGCCTCTCTGCCTCCCAGGTCCCCAGTATGGGCCCAGGGCTCAGGGTCCCCTGGGTGTGTGCACCGTGCACTGGTGGGGGAGGAGGTCAGCCCTGCCCCGGAGCTCCCCCCAGCCGAGCAGGCCTGTAGGTAGGCTGGCCCTCCTCCCCCAATCCTCACAGGGCCCACAGGCCCAGGGCCAGGCTTGGCTTCCGGAGCTGCCGCCACCTTGGCCGGCTACACCACACATGGTTTCAATCAGCAGCCTGCGGGATGAATGGTGCCTTGTGAGAGCCCTGCAGGGCTCACCTCGCAAACGCAAACACAAGAGGGCAGCCAGGTAGGTCGGCCTCCTGGGGGAGGCGGGAGTGTGAGGGGACCTCTGATGGGGGATGGGCTAGGGTGCAGAATGGCACACACTGAGGAGCCAGGCCCTGTGGTCAGACAGAGAAGAGTGGGATCCTGGCCCTGGCGCCCACAACTCACCAGGCATCTCTAGGCCTCGGCTCCAGGAGAAGGGCAGTAATGAGCCCCTCTTCAAGGCAGGGTGAGAATCCCAGGAGATGATGCCCAGCGTGCAGTAAGGGGCACCACACAGGCGCTCTTCCTGGGGTCCAGCTGGACCCATCAGGGGAGCCGGGGCAGGAGGCTCACAGACTAGATTAGGCCAGGGAAGGGAGAGGACCTTGCTTAGAGCAGGCGACTTCATTTGCCAAGGTGCAATCAACTGCTTCCACCACTTCCTCCATGCTTTGAAGGGAGGGGAGCATAGAAGGAGCCCTCGGCTGGGCTCCCCAAGGGGGCAGAGCCAGCACCCCAGCACAGGACAGCTTCAGGGTAGCCAGCACAGCCATAACTAATGTTTACTGAGCACTTACTGGGTGCTGTGCTCTGCAGGTCACGGGCATCATGTTATTTCATCCTCCGCCTCCTTCTATTAATGTTTCCATCTTACACATAATAAAACCATGACTCAGAAAGGGAAAGCACTCGGGCTGCAGCCACACAGCTGCAGGGAAGCAGAGCTAGGGTGTGAGGCCAGGTGCCATGCTGCTCCCGAGCCCAGACTCTTGCCTTCCACTCCACCTGCTGCCCCGGTGGCGGGCACAGGGCACCCATCCACCAGCTGAGAGCTCCTGTTCTGAGGGTCTCCAGTGCACAGGGCTGGTGGGGGCCGCGTTCCTGAGCATCGCTGCTCAGCCTCTTTCTCCGCCCAGAGTTTCCGAGGACCCAGGACCCAGGGCCCAAGGACCCATGTTCTCCTTCCCACCTCTCTCCCACCACCAGGCTGAGTACTTCACAGAGAAGAGGCCTCTGGGCATTGGAGAATGGAGGGGAGGGAGGGAGGGAGGAAGTGTCAGGGAGAGACGAAAAACTCATGTTTCTTTGTACTGAACCAGTACACGGGTCCTGCCAGCAGACAGTCACGTGCAGAATCCTTTCCCCTTGAACAAAGCCCCACAGACCCTGCAAAAGCCTCCAGCTTTATCACCCTTCCTTCCTTAAACCACCCTCCCTCCCCCCCACCTTCTCTACTCTCCAGGCTGAGCCCCCTCAGGTGCCCAGCAGCCCTTGGCTCTCTGTCCCTCACCTCCAGGCTTTGCTCATGATTTCACCTGCTGGGACACCTCTCCTTTCCCGCCCTGGCTGGGTAGTCTTCCAAAAGCCAGCCAGGCACTCTGCGCCAGGATGCCCAATCTGCCCCCCCGGGCTCCAGAGTATCTTCCCAGGTGTTTCTGGGAGCAGGGCCCTCCCTAGGGCCTCGTGGACTTTCTCTGGGACTGGCCCCAAATTCAGAATCTAATCTATCTCTGTGGAGGAAGGAGATGCTTCCTCTCCCCTCTGTTGGAGATGGAACGTCACCTTTTTCAGACTGGCTTTCTCTTCTTCCTTTTCTGTTTTTTGTTTTGTTTTGTTTTAGGTTTTATTTATTTACTCATGAGAGACACACACAGAGAGAGGCAGAGAATAGGCAGAGGGAGAAGCAGGTTCCATGCAGGGAGCCCGATGCGGGACAACCAGACTGGGATCACACCCTGAGCCGAAGGCAGACACCCAACTGCTGAGCCACCCAGGTGTCCCTCTTCTTCTTTTTCTGACTCAAATGTCTATGGGGTCAAGGGAGATGCACTCATGTGACTAAGTGCGGATCATTTGCTGAGCGGTTCATTTCTAGCTCTTAGCCTTTCAGTGGTTTCTCTGAGCTCCAATAAGAAACTATCTCTGGAGCATAGTTTATTTATGTTTAAGATTTTATTTATTTATTCATGAGATATACACACAGAGAGAGAGAGAGAGAGAGAGAGAGAGGCAGAGAGAAAAGCAGACTCCCTGCAAGGATCCTGATGCCAAACTCCATCCCAGGACCCAGGGATCATGACCTGAGTCAAAGGCAGACACTCAACCACTGAGCTACCCAGTGCTCCTCTGGAGCACAATTTAAAGAACAAGCCTTGGGGATCCCTGGGTGGCTCAGCGGTTTAGCGCTGCCTTCAGCCCAGGGTGTGATCCTGGAGACCCGGGATCAAGTCCCACGTCAGGGTCCTGGCATGGAGCCTGCTTCTCCCTCTGCCTGTGTCTCTGCCTCTCTCTGTGTGTCTCTCATGAATAAATAAAATCTTTAAAAAAATAAAATAAAGAATAAGCCTTTTCTGCCGTCTTCTGTATAGATAGAATGTCCCTCTCAAGTAGCACCAGCTCAGTCAGGACCAAAGTATGCACATCTCACATCTCCCCCCAACTACCCTGACCCCTTTGCCCTTTGGTGTGATGGGTCAGTGAGGACCACTAGAGAAAGCAGCCCTGTGGGAATAACTATGGACATTCTCAAGGGTTAAGCAGCAAAAACGTCCAGTGTGGCTTTGTTTAGGATACTAAAAATCTAAAATAATGCACGTATTCAACTATTAAATAAAGTGTGGTACATTCACAAACTAAATCCCATGAGGAGGAATTTTTAATGACATCTGAAGATAGTCATAATTTATCACTAAGAGAAAAAAAAAGATTAGGAAACATTATGTTGGAAGAGGAAAACCAGCCTCTGGGCAGATAGGTAAAAGAAGCAAGGTTGTAGGATAAGGATATAGACTTGGAAACTAGAAGGCCTGGGTCCAAGGGCCGACTTTGCCACCCTGTACCCAAGAGACAACAGACTCCAAACCTAAAAGCTGGGCTTGTATCATTTTTCCAAGTGAGGAAGACACCGGTCCTATGATATGTACTAGGCACTTAGCACAGTGAGACTGGCACAGACCAAGCATCCAATAGACATGGGCTTTGCTGATTATATATACACAAAGCGTGGGCGGTGTTTATTGCTATGTTGAGTTTTAATTTTCTTAGGTTGGTTTATTTGCATTTTTTAAAATTTCTGCAACAAATGTAAATTACTTGTATTAATTAAAAGAATATAAACAAACATGACCGCATAAGGAAGCAGCCCCACAGAATTCATTCTTGAATTTTTCACCAGCATGTTGCTGAGGACATCACTCACTATGATGCACTGATGAGATTTTCTGGGAGAAACTAATCTGCTTTTGGTATCAGGAGGTTTCCCAGAACACATGGGCTGCCCGTGGGCTTCCAGCCACAGCTGGGTGCCTAACCTTGATGTCCAGTGCAAGGGGATCATTTAAATAAACCACGACCCAGCTTTACGTGTGCATAGGACAATGTGTGAAGGAGTCCCACCAAAGAGGGATCCCTGGGTGGCGCAGCGGTTTGGCGCCTGCCTTTGGCCCAGGGTGCGATCCTGGAGACCCGGGATCGAATCCCACATTGGGCTCCCTGTGCATAGAGCCTGCTTCTCCCTCTGCCTGTGTCTCTGCCTCTCTCTCTCTCTGTGACTATCATAAATAAATTAAAAAAATTAAAAAAAAAGGAGTCCCACCAAAGAGTTGGAAGTGCTACCCCAGGGACCACTACAACAGGGACACTCATGCTTCAGATTTCTGCACTTTACTGGTGATCCCAATTCTTTCACAACAATCCTGTCACAATAAAAATGGAAACGACAGAACTTGATGTCATAGAAAAATATTTAATAACACATAAAAATGTTGGCAATTTATTAGGATTAAAAAGAGGTTTGCAGAACAGAATGTCAGTACACTCCCATTTCTACAAGAGCAACTTGACACATCAGACAGAAGGGCAAAGTCCTAAAATAGGAACAGTGGTTATCTGAGTGGTGGGATACACTTTCAAATATTTTCTTCTCATTTGTCTGCATGTTCTCAATTTTCCACAATGGACATCTACAATTTTTGTGATTTTTTAAAAAAATGCATTTTCTTAAAAGGAAAGATCTTGCCCCAAATTTTGCCTGCATTTCTGAGCCTTTATCTTGCCTCCACATTCTCCGCACCCCCCCTCCCCCCATCCGCCTGTTTTCTCACCTGATTTTAATTGACGCCATCTTGCTGTCCCTTCTGTGTCCTTGAGAAAGGCCTGAAATCCTTGTTGGAGCGAAGCAAGGCACAAGCCAGGGCACAGGTCCAGCCCCCTGCTCCCCATCAGTGGTCCCCCACCAGTCCACACTGCCTCCTGGAGTATTGTTCTAATTAGTGGGGACGCAAAGCAGACCCAAAGGCGGAACTATAAACACCAGAGGCAAAGACCCATAAACAGCTGGGTAACTGACTCCAGCTTGTGCAGATGGTCCTGGCTCTCCTTCACACTACGGGCTGGATAGGGGGCTGGGCTGGCCATTGAGGTCTTCCCTCTGCCTCCCCTCCTTAGACCACAGGCTGCTAACTGCCAGGCAGTTAGACACTTGGGGGGAGGAGGTGTCTTGGGTGAGCTTCATCCACATGGATAGAATGCGGGACCAAAGACCTTTGAGGTCCCCAGAGCCCCATTACCTGCCCTTGGGCCTCAATTTACCTAGCTGTAAAATGGGGGAAAGAAGAGCTAAGAGACTAAATGGGCCTTTTTAAAAAAAAATTATTTATTTGGGAGAGAGGAGAGCGTGAGCAGGGGAGGAGCAGAGAGGGACAAGCAGACTCTGAGCTGAGTACAGATCCCAGCATGGGGTTCAACACGGAGTTCAATATGGGACTCAATCCCATGACCCTGAGATCATAACCTGAGTCGAAATCAAGAGTCAGATGCTCAAATGACTGAGACATCCAGGTGTCCCCTCAATGGGCCTTCTTGCTACCACATCAGGCCTACATGTATGCACTGGCACTAAATGCCTATAATATACCTAACTATAGTGTAAAAACAATATCTACCATGTGATAATAGAAACAGAGTATAACATTATCTGCAATAAAATCCATACATATTATGTATTACTATAAAATACTCTAATATTATGTTTCCTTTTTTTATGACCATCTATGGATATCTGTGTTCAGAGAGTATGTAGAGGCAAGCCAGGAAGACTTCCTTGTATGAAGGAAGATTGAAGGGCTGTGGATTCGACAGGCAGAGGAAATACGCCTCCAAAAATGTCATAATGGAGGGAAAGAGAGGTCTCAAAAGACAGGGAATTTATGGTGCTTTTTGTGGGGGTCATCTGGGGCAGGGATCCACGTCTGTCTTCTACCCTGGAAGCACATAGCCTGGTGCTGCAGAGGGCAGGAAAACAACATGCTGGATTGGAGTGACCAAGACTTGCCAGCCTCTGGTTACACAACAGAGTATCTGGGGAATTTGGTAAAACACAGATTCCTGGGCCCTTCCCAGAGTTCCTGCCTCAGAATCAGGAGCAACAGGGTCAGGCATTTGAATTTTAAAGATTTCTCAGTTGATTTCTGAAGCAAGAAGTGTCCATGTCCAGCACAGGTGAGCATTTGGGAACCTGGGGTCTGGCGTTCCCAGTGGCTGGAGATAGAATGTGGACTAGGGTAGATTCTCCTGCCCTGCCTCGTGCAGTACAGCTTCAGAAGCAGTGGGCTTCAGGCTGTGGAGTCTCACAGACCAAGGACTCCCAGCTGTGTGATCCTGGACAGTTATTTAACCTGTCTAACCCTCATCTATATAATGGGAGTGATACTAATACTTAACCTCAGCGAGTTGTAGAGCTAGTCCTTGACAAGCAGAGGGCCTGACACATGAGAAACACTTTTTTGTATTCATATAATAGATAGTATTTGCAATATTATTCCTCCCTTCCAACCGCCCTCCTCCCTGCCCTCAGTAACCATCAGCCCAGCCCAGTCTTGGGTGGAGAGGTTCGCAGGGCCTCTAGCAGTGAGAAGCTGGGCTGACACTGCCCCTTGCTGGACAAGTGCTAGACTGCACCGGAATAAGTCCAAATTGAAGCCCCATTTCCTCCCTTTTACCTGTGAATACTTGAGCGTGAACTTCTTCTGAAAAATGATATATTCTTAAATAACAGTACAATTATTAAAAGGAGGAAATTTAACATTGATATGATGCTATATCCAATCCACACAGTCCATATTCACATTTTGTCAGTGGTCCCTCTGGGGTCCTTTATAGCTGATTGTTTCCTGGTCCAGGACCCATCCAGGGTCACACATGACATGTGACTGCCAGATGCCGTTTCCTCTAATTCTGAACCATTCCTCAGCCTTTATCTTTCATGACCGTGACATTTTTAGAGTGCAGGCCAGTTTATTTTGAAAACTGTCTCTCAACAGAGATGTATCTGCCGGCTAGATTCATGTCATGCTTTTATCAGAAACTTCACAGGCATTCAGCTGGGTCCGTCCCATACCACGTCAGTTGTCCAATTCTGATGATGTGGGCTCTAACTCCCCCATCTGTTAGCACATGGGAGCTGAGCTCTGAGGGTCAGAGAGGGAGGGGAGACTTGCCTACGGTCTCACAGCTAGTCAGGGTCCTCAGCTCAAGATCTTGACGAGAGCTCAGGGAAGCTGCAGCAAGGCAAGAACGTCCCCCCACTGCCCTGAGCTCTGATGGGAGCCCAAGGGCTTGGCCAAGGACACCCATGTCGCCTTCATGGCATCACCCCTACAACAATCTGGGTGCCCAGAGCTCTCTTTCTGCTTCACCCATTCCTAGTTGTTATTAAGACTTTCATTTCACAAGTGATGCACAAGATTATCTTTGTTATTTAAAAAGTGCTGTAGTCAAAGCTGAAGTCCTCTTTGAGCCCTCACCCTTTTCCCAGTCTCTTCTTCCTCCTCCAGAAGTAACCAGTTGTCAGTTTGGTGTGAGAGGTATGTATCTGCACTCCCAGGAAAAATACACACTATATAGCATTCCTTCCAAAAATGGTCACACAGTAGGTCAGTCTCATAGAAATTTCTCTGGCAGGACTTAAAGACTGAGCCAATTATTTTCAACTACGTCATCATGTTGTTTCAGCTTGTGGCTATACTAGAGGCTATTAAGCTGATCCACTATGGATGGACATCTAGGTTGTTTCCAGCATTTAGCTCTTATGAAACACACTGCCCTAAGCATGTGATCCGGGGCTTCTCTTAGGAAAATGCCTACTTCTGGGAGCCTAGACTGCTCCTGGAGTAGGAGATTCCTTGAGTGGACTCCTCAATTAGAGGATGAGGAGAGGTCTAATGTGCCTTTATTCACTCAACCTATTAGAAATGCGGACTTTTGGGACCTCTGAGAGCAGGCGGGCTGGATTTTCACCATGTGTTTCAAAGAATTTTAGGGTTCCAAGATAATATGAAGGACAGGGAAGAGGAATTAGCTGGGGAGAGTCTAGACCCTGACTGTACCCCAACCACAGCACCCCTTTACCTGGTTTTCAGTTTTCTCTTTTAAAAACAAATATTGACTATTTTAAAATTCAAAAATCTCTGATGTGGCCGGACCCCTTAACTGACCCACTGATAATCTCCGTATCACACCTTCTGGAGCTGCTCCCATTAACACACCCTCCAGCCATATACTGTTGGTGATGCCACATGACCTGTACCAAGCTCCCTGGTACACAGCTGACAAACCGTAAAAGTCTCTGCAAGTGCTGCCCTCGTGCATTGAGTTGTTCCCAGCTGTGTCCTCACACGCCCCTCAGCAGCTGTCCACGTTCCTCTGGACCTTCTCTGGCTCACACTCAGTGGCCTGGTTCAGCATTCCCAAACCTTCCTGTGTATCAGGGAGTTTGTTAAGATGCACTTTGCTGGGTCCCACTCCCAGAGGTTCTGAATGAGTGGATTTCGGGGAGCCCAGCAATTTACATTGTTTGAAAGCTTCACAGAGGGTTCTGAGGGAGCAGGGTCCAGAGGTCTGTGTGGCAGACAGGAGACTGGGGCCTCTCTGCTCTGCCCCTTCCACCAAATCTCAAGCTCGGCCCTCTATCAGGCTAGGAGGGCTAGAGTCATGTACTTTAGCTAAAGATTTGGTTCCTCGGATGGTGGGGCTCTGAATTAATTAGAATCTGTAGGACTGATGGGTCAAAGCCAGGGTTTCCCACAGGAGGGTGCCTCAGCATGGAGAGGTTAAAATGCAGATGGCTGGGCCCTACCCCACATGTCAGAGATGACTCTCTGGAAGTGCAGCCCGGGAATCTGCATTTTAAGCAAATTCTCCTGGAATAGGCACTGAGTCCAACTTCTTACATACCCCTGAAAGACGAGGGAAACTGAGGAACAAGATGATTTATCCCTCACCCCCACCACCACTAGCCAGGGGTGGCCAGACTGCCTGTGGTCTAAACCTCCCTACCTCCACCCTCCCCTGCAGGTCATTCGAAAAGTTCAGACAGACAGACATGACCAGTGCGTACAAATAGAACCCCACTTTATTAGCAGTTAGTTCGAGATTGTACATTAATGGAGGAAGGTTCCCACTTTTAACACAACCCAAAACGGCTGGTTTGAGAGCCCTGATCAGATGAGCTGGGTAGCACCCCCTCTCTCCCCCTCCCCACCCCCACAAGGGAAGGAAACCTGTCTGCTCCCCTAGCGTGCCCCCCACCCTCTCCAGGCAGCCCTCTCCTCTCCCCAGGAAATGACATGAATTTCATGCACAAATTACAAAAGGAGCCCTCTTGCTGATAATAAAAGCTAGCACAGTCATAGAAAACCCTCTCCTCCTTCATTCTCCTCAAGAGCCAGGGAGAGGAAGGAGAGAAGGAGGATGAACTTATTAGGATAAAACACAGCCAGAGTCTCCCTAGGCCCTTGACATTGACCCCTCACAAAGCCCACATCCACCCTTTGTGGGAACTAAAAAAAAAATCTCTGGCTGCCTGAGCTGGCAAGGGCAGGCCCTGGGGAGCAGCCAGCCCAGGGCTGCAAACCAGGCACCCAGCATTGCCTAGAGGGCGGGGGTCTGGGCCCTCCACCCTCCCTTCAGCTAAAGCAGACCTGCTTTCTTCTTTGACATTGGAAAACCCCTGCTCTAGCCTCACCTGTTCATTCTACAAATGGGGAGGTTGAGGCCCTGGGAGGAAAACCATCACGCAGCTACTAATTGTACCCAGTTGGGACAAAATTTCACATCTCCTGCCTCCGGCCCAGGGCTCTTCTCCTTACACCACAGCTTGGGAGAGGCAGTTCCCCAGTGAGGCCCTTCCCTGGTACATCCCAGGGGCCTGGCTCTGTTCCAGTGCACACAGACCACTGGCCTCCAGGAAGTAAAAACCAGGAGGCCGAGAGAGAGAGAGAGAGAGAGAAAGAGAGAGAGAGAGATGCTATTTGTGCCCTGTGGTCCATTGCCAGGATCAGAAGGGGCAGCAGAGGCTCTCCTGAGCCAGAGGCATCTCCCTCCGAGGAGGCCCAGCACTGCCAGCCCAGCCTCCTCCTTCTAGAGGGGCCCAGGCCAGCTGCAACAGGTGCCTCCCTTGCCTCCCCTGAGCTCCCAGAGCTCCACCTAGCCCTCATGTTGGTTTGGCACTTGGTACAGGGGATGGTAGAGGGGCATCTCAGGCTGGGGTAAAGTTATAAAGTCAGCACAAAAGGCAGAAATCCACACAGCCTAAATAACCCTTGACAAGACAGGGGCTGGAGAGATGTATTCTGTGACACTATGAAGAAATGATCACCCAGATCCAGAATGTGGGACTTTAACAGGACAGCAGGCCTGCTCTCCTCAGAAATAACATCATTTAAAAAACCAAAGCGAGCAGAGAGAGGACTTTTCAGCATTTAAGAGATTGAATGAAAACCAAAGTTACAAGATGTCACGTATGCACCTAGATTGGATCCTGCTTCCAAAACCAGGTGTAGAAGTTATCTGAGGGGAAGAGCAAATATAGATTAAATAGCAGCTGTTCTTAGGAAATCACCGTTGTCTTGGGTGTGATACAGGCCAATACGTAGGACAATGTCCTAACTCTTAGGGGATGCAGGTGGAGGCATTTTGGTCAAGTCTCGTGGTATGTGCATCTTATTTTTAAACTAATTCTCGGAAAAAACAATACAGAGAGTGAGAAACCAAATGTGGCAAAATGTTCGTTTTAAATCTAGATGGAGAGTGAACGTTCATAATAAAATAATTGGTACAACATGTTTCCACTTGCTCTTTCAATAACGAACCCAAGGGGATTGCTCCTACTGAGGCCACCAATCTCATCTGGGGGTAAGCCTAGTTGTCCTCATTGGGAACAGATGGCTGCTCCTCAGCTGGGCCCCAGAGGCACTGGCTGCTCCTACTCACAGGCTTGAGAGAGGCCCATCTTTAAACTCATGCTCCAAGCACGAGATGCCTGCATGATGGGTAGTTCTAGAACACCGAGTAACTGAGGCAGCTGCAGGAGACCATCCTACCTGTGCCCACCCCAGACAAAGGCTCATGGGAGGCACGAGAGAATGGATGGTGGAGACCACTACATGATTTAAGCTGTTTCTCTCTCTTTCTGTTTCTCTCTCTTTCTCTTTTTTTTGGCCAAGTACAGTGAATTAGTGAACATTGAAGATGCAGAGATGCTGTACCCACTGCCCTCTGGTTTGCCCCTCAAATGAGGAGGATCTGTGTGCTCAGAAGCTGAGCCCCTAGAGGGATATGTCAGTCCCCCCACCCCAATATCTACAGGTCTTGGCAGTGGGTCCACGAGCAAGATTCATTAGTGGGAAGGGAAGAAGTAGCAGTGACCACAGAGACATAGAACATGTGGCAGGTCAAGACCCCAGCCTCCCAGAAGGGCCCGTACAACATTCCCCAATATTTTCTCTGCTCCCACAGGGTCCCATGGGGTCTCAAACCTGCCTGCTCCTTCCTCGGGCCAGAGGCAAAGAGAAATGGAGCTCCCCGCCCACCAGCCATTCTGAACTCCCAGAGATGGGGGCAGGTGTCCAGACACAGAGGGAGCTGTAAGGTCTGCACAGGCCACGGAGCCCAAGTCCCTCACCAGAAGACGGGAGATGAGGCCCGGGGTTTGCACTATGGAAGTCGCTGCCCCATTCTGTGAGTCTGGTTCTACAGCACTGGCAAGTCTTCCCGAGTGTACAAGCAGGCATGCCACCCTGTCCCCAGACACTCTGTTCCTCATCCCCTTCAGGGATGACACTGGGCTCCCAGGCTCAAAGGCCCCGATGAGAAGCACGATGGAAGGGCTTCCCTCGGGAGACCATGAACCCACATGCAGCTGTCCCACTGAGTATCCGCCTTTCTTCTCCACCGCTGGCAAAGAACTTGAGGCAAGGGGACGAATTCGGAGGTCAGACAGAGCCAGCCCCGTGCAGACGGGGGAGGACCTCTCAGGGAGAGCAAGGCAGGACTGCACACGCAGACCAGGAACTGAGAAGGCTCAAAGGCACCCTGGCTGGGAAGGAGTGGTTTGTCCCCTATCCTGGAATGACCACGGGGGTGACTGAGGGAGAGACAGGAGCCTGGCACAGAGCAGGGTCCCCAGGATGGGCTCAGAGGCAGTGTGGCATTGGAAGAGCACTGGACTCAGAATCAGGAGCCTCGAGTTCAATTCTCGGCCCTGCTTGCACCCAGTTCCGAGACGTTGGCCCGAGAGGCCGCCTCGCCTTTCTGGACCTGTTTCCATACCCATCAAAGGACCCTTCCAGCCCCAAGATGCTACAGTCTTCTGAACAAGACAAGGTTCTCCAGAAAGGGTTTCCTGGATGTCGGCTGGAAGCTGAACTGGCAGTGGGAGGGGCTGGGGAGAGGCGCCCAGCCTTAGTCACTTCACATTGTTAATGGAGGGGGTAGGAGCAGACCCTAACCGGAAGACAGCCCCGAGATCCCATGGTCTGCAGGGGGCCTGGAGACAGCTCTGTGGGTCCCAGTGGGCAGCCCAGCTCCCAGGGCAGCTCCCAACCTAGCACCATGTGAGGGGGAGGGGATAGGCCTGCCTTCGGCCCCCAGCCTCCCACCCCAGCCCTGCTGTTTCCTTTGGCCGAAGTTCCTCCAGGGTCACTGCGCTTCATGGAGCCAGGTTTCCTGGAGAGAGTAGGTCTTCCCTGTACATCTCACCACTTCTGTTCAGCTGCAGAAGCCCCAGGGCAGCCACGACACTTGGGGAGGGAACAGAGACCTCTCCCAGGGGCACCTCACCCTCCCCTCCCTGCCATCCCGTTCTCTAGCACTGAGATAGGACACTGGGGCTTGCCACCATTTTGTACAACTGAATTAAAAACAAACCCAACCAAAAAAAATATAATATATATATATACACATTATATATATATATAACACAGTGCGACCCCAGCACCCAGGGTATAAACTCTGGCACCAAGAAAAAAAAACCAAAATATTAAAATACTTTAGCTTCTTAGTATTTGGGGGGTTAATGGGGGTGGGTCTCGAGGAGCCCTTGGCCACAGGTAGCTGGGGCAAAGGCGTGGGTGGCAGTCTCACCCACTCTGCCCAGGGTCTGCCAGGGGCCAAGGTTGGGGGTGGGCATGGGGAGGACATATGTACATTGGGACATGGATACTGGCAGACTCCTGAACCGCCTCAGCCTTTTACCACAGGAAATACCACACGTCCTATCCCAGGGTGAGGAACAGGGGTAAGGAGGCCTGGGTCTCGGGGTCCGATGGCACGGCAGCGCCCCAGGGTCCCGACGAAGGCCCTGAGGACTGGGTCGATGCTGTAGGACTCAGCGATTCTTTCCTCCAAAGAGCAGGTGAGATGGGAAGGGATTAACCAGAATGTGTGTAGAGGTTGCCACCCCCACATCCAGCCTCGTGGCTCTGGGTACCCAGCTGACCCCTCTGAAGTGCCTGGCTCGAAACAGGGAAGCGGCCCGTCTCTCTCCCGTTTGGCAAAAAGCCCCGAGGGGCTCCTCCCCCTGTTGTCTGGAGGACAGGGAAAATATGGCAGCTAATACTGAGGGGATACCCTGCCGGGGCAGGGGCTGATGGGGTGAAGGGGAGGGCGTGGTTGGTAGAACACAGTGAGGGACAGAAAAGGAGTCTCGCAGACTCCCTCCTACCAGGAAGCGGCCCTTCCACCAACAGGGAGGGGCCTCCCCACGGAAGGCCGTGAACGGAATGGACCTCTGGTGGCCAGGGAGGTCCTGGAGGCCCCAGACCCAGCACTGGATGCTCTGAGGCGCTGTGGACCCGCCTGGCCTCTTCTCCTGGCCCTGCCTGGGCCTCCGCTGAGTATTGCTCCTAAGTGCTCGGCCAGCCCAGGCCCAGCTCCCCACCCTGCGGGTCAGTCTGGCTCAGCGTGCGGCAGGCCGTCCAGGCCGTCACCAACGTTCAGTCTGGCTGTGGTGGCCGTGGCTACCTGGTGTTCTGGAGGTCCTCCCGCAGCCAGGTGGGCAGGGTCTGGCCCATCTTGTACAGCAGCTTGGAAAGCTCGATGTTGTGGTCCCGATAATAGTCCTTCAGGAAGGCGCGGGACTGGAACGGGAAGGAAAGTTCGGGTCTCGGTGAGGCGCGGATTCCGAGGGGGATCCCCCTCTCTGTGAAACCACCACTCTGTCAGCGCCCACCCACCCACCTATAGTTTATTCACCATCTTCTTCAAAAAGGTGGCCTCTGAAAGAAAACTCCTATATAGCAGGACACAAGGCCAAAATCCTTGTGATGGAGAGACAAGGGGGAATCGATTAATATCAGGACAATTGAAAGTCACAGCGTGTGACTTCTCCATCGTTTGGACATGCCATTGTCTCCTGCGAGAACACCCAGCCCTCCAGCCTCGGTCCCAATGCTGCCCTGTCCTTGCACCCCGACTCCAGAGTCTCTCGAGCCACAAGGAGCACCTCTGCGTTCTGAATTCCCCTAGCGCTCGAGCGCGACTCTCTTACTGCTTGAGGCACTGCCTGTCTTGTATTCTTAAGGGTGTGTGTGACCTATTTCCCTCCTGGACTAAGAGTCCCTTGAAGGCAACGAACATGCCCCATTCATCCTCAAAGCCCACAGCATTCACCCCCAGGCACAAGGTAATAAATACTCACTTGACTAAATCATTTCTTTTTTTTTTTTTTTTGACTAAATCATTTCTAACCCGCATGTCCCAGCTGATACTCCCTCCTTTTTAAGAACCCCATCCAATGGGATCCCTGGGTGCCTCAGCGGTTGAGCGCCTGCCTTCTGTCCAGGTCCTGGGACTCCAGGATCAAGTCCCACATCAGGCTCCCTGCATGGAGCCTGCTTCTCCCTCTACCTATGTCTCTGCCTCTCTCTCTCTTCCTCTCCCTCCCTCCCTCTCTCTCTCTCTCTCTCTCTCTGTCTCTCATGAATAAATAAATAAAATCTTTAAAAAAAAAGATTTAAAAAATAATAAGTTAAAAAAAAAAGAACCCCATGCTCCCCCCTTGCTCCACATGCATGTCAAGGAATGCCAAGGCCATTAAGGTGCTGGGTGCAGGGTAAAGGGGAGATTGAATCCCCGCCAGTCAGGGACCCCCTCCAGTGATCCAGCTGCCACAGGCAGTGTATCCACTTACATCCAGGTCCATCTCTGGGTATTTCCGGCCCTTGCTTTTGCCCAGACACTTGGTTTTTCCTCCTTCAAGCAGTTGGCACCAAAATCCTTTCTTTGGATCAAACCTGTGGAGGTGGGGAAAGCCTGTGGATGGGAGCTGGTCCAGCCCATCCACTTCCAACCTGAAGGCAATGTTCACAGAGTGGCAGTGCCTAGACCATGAAACCCACTCTCCTAAGCACGCTCTGGAACCCACAGATAGATGGATGTGTGGGGCTGGGGTTTGCCCATGGGCTACACTAAACCGGCCTGCCCCCTTCTTCCTCGCCGAAGACAGCTCGCATGCTCTGAATCTCTTCTTGTTCTGGCTGGTCAGCCCAAGGCCCTTTAGCAACCCCACAACACAAACACGTGCCATCCTTCAGGATTTGGGGAAATCTTCCCTGAGCATTCTCCTACTCAGGGCTGAGCAACGTTTTTCACCCAAGAACCCAAAAGGGGAAAAAAGTTTAGTGGGATTTTCTGGGTGCGTGTTTCAATAAATTCTCTATTTTTCAAGAAATGCAGTGTCTGCAGTTGTACTTGAGCATGTCCATCACTGGGAAGTTTTGACTTTGGGAGTAAATTTCAGAAGTGACAGAGCAAGACTGCCTTCAGGATTGGAAGTCAAAGGTTTTTTGTGGGAGGAGACGAGATCTGAAGCCGCCAAGGAGAGGGGAGGCACACTGGCATCAGAATTCCACCCCAGATCAGGAACCAGTAGGAGCTTCTTGGGCATGAGGACAGCCAGAAAAACAGAGTTCATATCTGGCAGGTGTGGGAGACCGGGATTTCTGAATGGGTCACAGGGTAGGCATAAAGGAGGAAGATGATGATGGTGATGATGATGATGATGAAGATGATAATTTTTGAGCATCAGTACATGCCAGGCACTGAGCTAAGAGCTCCACATGCATGCCTCATTCAATACAGTGACCCTTGGGAGGTAGGAGTTATCTATCACCTTTATCCCCAATTTGCAGATGAGGAAGGTGAGGTCTGAAGGGGCTAAAACACTTGTCCAAGGTCACACAGTTAAAGAAGTAATGGGTCTGGGATCCTAACCAGGCATCTCTGATACCATAGCCCAACACCTTTAGCTGTTGCTCCTGTCTGCATCAAGGTAAAAGAAAGGACTGTTTCTCTTTTTCACCTTCAACTTCCAAGATAGTGAGAAGGGAACATTCTTGCTGCATGACTTTCTCAAGAAGGTAGCCAGGGAAGGTGACTTTTTTCCTCCCTCTCTTGAGACCCCCCTTCTCCATTCAGCTGCATGAGTCACCTGTCCATATAACATGGCACTAGGGGACACCACTCCCCGGCCCTGAGCTCTTACAATACAGGTTGGCCTCTACTCATCTTGGAAGGGCATTCCCAGTGCGCTTGTACCAGGTTCTGAGTGAGTGGGATTATCAGCCATTGACAACATTTATAGTTTCCTTTTCCTGAAATTATATTTAGATCATAATCTAATGCTAAGAAACCCTTGTGGGAACTGGGGAAGCTTAATGTTAATCTAACTTACTTCCATAAAAGATTCTGAACATGTTCAGGACAGACTGAAAAGAAAACCCCAGAGGTGGAACTCACATATTTATCACCTCTTTTTTTCTTGAGTTGATACCTTTGTTAATATGACTCAAACCATATTAATATTAGCTTTTCTGCTAAACAGCCATCAGGAACATACACACTTTCTAACACTCGCTAACTCTAATTTATCTGTGTCTCTCCCACCATCATTCAAGACTTAGGCTTTTTGGTCCAGGTGCTTGCTCAGAAAATCATCCTGTTGAAAAGCCAAGGCAATACTCACGCCAAGGTTTTGTGGTAGTCAATAGTGTTGGTCACCCCAAGGAACTTTTGCACTGTGTCCATCACTTTGGCAGGTTCTGTTCGCAGCAGTTTGCCATCCAGGACCAGGATCTGGAGAAAAGAGAAAAGGGAAAAGGATGATCTGTGTTCACTCCAGTGTTCACACTAGTGGCAAAGAGGTTCCCAGTCTCCTGGTCAGCGGCCACGGTACAAATTGGGGACTCTTCACTCTACAGCCTCTGCCTCCTCTTCCACTTCTGAGCACTCCCCACACCTCAGGCTTCCACAATCCAACTCCCTGCTCTCTGCCAGCTTCCCTCTCCTCGAGATGTAGCTATCACCCCAATCCTGTCTGCCCCTCACAATCCTACCATATCCCTCTCTGCCTCCCTCCAAGCCTCTGGCCCAACATCACTCTCCTACCTAAACCCTCCAAGGCTTTCCCTAAAATGCCTCATGTGATCTGGCCCTGCTTACCTCCTGGATCGCTCTCTCTAAGTCACCACACCCTTCCCAGGAAGGTAGCCTATCCTGGGACTTTCGGGGGCCCCTTAGGGATACAGAACCTGTTATGATGGGACAAGGGCTGAGGGGATTCTCATTCATCAGCCTTGGGATAAACACGAATGAAATTTTCAAAGACCCCAAAGGTCTAGCTGGCCAATGAGGGCATTTCTGGCCCCGTGGCTGACAAAAGAGATTTGTAGCTCTCTGCTAGCTGTCACAAGCCAGAGCTGTGAGTGCCCTCCCAAGGGTCCGGGACAGGTGGCTACCTGGTTGGCATGAAAGGCGCTGAGCCAGCGCTCGATGTGGGTGGCGTACCAGCCGGGGACCAGGCAGCGGTTCTGGAGGGCACGCAGCTTCAAGGACGCGTCAGGCCCAGCCGTGATCACCTCGTGAAAGGTGTACTTCAGGGCCACCGGGTCATCGTGTGCGCGCTGGTGCTACAGGGAAGGGACAGGACGGTCAGTACACCACATGGAAGGCACAAAGGTCTTGGGGCCGCAGCTGTGAAATGGCCAGAAGACCCAGGACTGGAGCCCTCAGTTCAAGACCCGGATCTGCCTCTCATCCTCTTTGACTTCAGAGAGTCACGGCCCCTGAGCGCTTGAGTATTTCCATCTTTGCAAGATGGGAGTTGGATTGGATCAGACTTTTCAAATGTGGGTCATCCGCTCACTGCCTCTCCTATTTCTGCCACCCCCACAGCCACCTGTGTGTGCCAATGTCAGCGTACTTTGATTTATATTGACTCATCTCTCTTATTCACATAAAACTATTTCAAAATCAAACTCACTATCGCCTCCATAAACAGAAAACCAGAATCAGTTGTCACATAAAGAAGGTAACCATTCATAAATACAATAAAAATAAAACAATGTTCTCAAATGCCAGCCAGACATCAATGTCTGCTCTAGGTCCTGAGCTCACAGCTTGTACTCTTTTCGATGAAAGTAGAGCTTAGCAACATTAGAAAGGACTTAAGAGCCATTTACACTAAAATGAGAATTTGTCCTTTATGGATTAACTCTTTGTGTCCCCTCCCCAAAATTCATATGCTGAAGCCCTAACCCATAATATGATGGTATTTGGAGGTGGGGCCTGGGAGATAATCAGAGGTAGATGAGGTCATGATGGTGGGGCCACCATGATGAGGTCAGTGCCTTTACAAGAAGTGACACCAGAAGGCACCTGGGTGGCTCAGTGGTTGAGCGTCTGCCTTTGGCTCAGGGCATGATCCCGGGGTCCTGGGATCAAGTCCCACATCGGGCTCCCTGCATGGAGCCTGCTTCTCCCTCTGCCTGTGTCTCTGCCTCTCTCTGTGTCTCTCTCATGAATAAATTAAAAAAAAAAGTGACACCAGAGAGAGTGGGTGCTCTCCCTCTCTCATGCTTGCATTCTCTCTCCCTTTCCCTCTCCCTCTCTGCCTTGTGAGGACACAGTGAGAAGGCAACTGTTTAAAAGTCAGGAAGAGCCATCTCACCAGGAACCAAATCCACTGGCACCCTGATCCTGTACTTCTAGCCTCCGGAACTGTAAGAAATAAACCTCTTGTTTAAGCCCCCAGTCCATACTGTTATGGCTGTCCAAACAGACTAAGACAGGACAAGAAAAGAGCCAGAAAGGGGTGAATGCCATGTTTGAAGCACCTACAATAATGCCACAGGCCCTTGGCATCCAGAGACCAGGAGCCTGCCCAGCAGGGGTCACTCTTGAGCCTCCACGCTCACACACAGCTCAGGGTGGGCAGTGAGAGAAGAGAGCAAGTAGGGTCTGTACCCGGCCCCCTGCCGGCACTGTGGACAGCAGTGAGGCTCTGGAGAAGAAGTGACAGGCTCAGAGGGTGGCAGGGAGGTGCTGAAAGTGGCCAGACTGAGGAGGTCTTCCCCCTATACCCTGGCACTGGATCATAAACCCAGGAAGATTGGCAGGCAAGGGAGGAAACCCCCAGAAGGCCTGAGCCTAGGCTTTTCCATAAGCCTAGTGGAATGGTGCTCAGATGAAATTAAGTCAGGTCATTGAAGTTAAAGAAACTTCTAGTTCTTACATAGTCAAGTAGGAGTTAGGAGTCATACCCTCTCTAGCACAGACAAGAGTCAGGTAACTTCTTTATTTGATCAGGTGTTTGCATCCTCTACTATAAATGGGGAGTCCTATGCCTTATCCTTCTCTGAATCCCTACCCTCACGCCACCCAGAATCTAGCAAGGAGGCCAGTTAGTATGATCACTGTTCACCAAATCTCACTTTCATCAAGGTAGAACCAGCTTCCACCTCTTGTTGGTGTCAGAATCAGAGGCGGAACCCCCAGTGAAGCTGGCAGGGTAAGTAGGTAACTGTAGGCTGGGATGCAACATGGATTTCCACCTGTCTCCTCCACTAGGCTAGAAGCACTGTGGAGGTAGGACTCTGGTCTTACCCACCACCCCATTCCAGAAGCCTAGCTTAGACTTAGTAAACACCTGCTGAATGAACACATGAGTAACTGAGTTGTGGACAGAGCCCCATGCCCCTACCCAGGGCTCTGCCCCAGCCCCGGCTCACCTGGTACCAGGAATAGGCCCGGTCTGCTGGGTTGATGAGGATGGTCAGGACCTTGGCCTTGGGTAACAGAGCAGCTGCTCGCCGGGGCGCCACTTCCGAATCAAAGTAGTTGGCGCTTTTCTCAAAGTAAAAGTCGGAGGTGGTGTTGGAGGGGATAGGAAAGAACTCCATGTACCTGCAGGAAGCCCAGAGAGAAGAGCTCACAGGCAAGACTCATGAGAAGGGGGCCCGAGGAACGCATGATGAGAGGGTGAGGGTCGGTGGGGGTAGCATTTCAGAAAGCAAGCAGGGCACATTAATCCCAAGGACCTGCTTCAGGCAGGGATTCTAGATGGATGGCCACTTTTTTCGAATCCAACGCTTTTCAGGGGGTACTTTGGAGTCAGGAGGATGTCAAGACTTATAGAAGTGATATGAGTTGTAAAAATATGGGATGGGGTCGGGGTGGAGTGTCTTTGAATCCTAAACCAGATATTTCCAGTTAAAGTGACAGGGTCTCAACTTACTGCCTCTAGGGGGAGAACTGGGACACCTCTGACCCCAGGAAGAGCCAGCATGGACCTGAGGAGTGCCCTGTCTTGCCTCTAGAGTACAGGATTTCTTTCCTGACCTAGGATGGCGCTTTCAACACTGTCACTGTGGACCAGGAGATGGGGGTGGGGGGGTGTAGGGGGATAGGGTGTATGTGTGTGTCACTTTCGGCCAGCCACACTTCTCCACTGGCCTCATGTGGATCAGCCTGACGTTTCCAGATGAGCCTCCCATATCCCACCCAGAGTGACTTCCACACCAATCCTTTGGCTCATTTCGGAAAGCTAAATGAACACTCCAGAGCCTCCCAGGGGCACCTACTAATGCAAAATAGTGGTACAACTTCAGGGGTTCATGGAAGCCAAAGCCTGCTGGCCCACCTTAGGTAAGGGTGTAGGATCCCTACTATATCCTGGGAGACAGGGCTACTCTAGGGAGGTACCAGGAACCCCTTTATCAGAACCACCTTGGGGCTTCGGAGATTCCTCACCCCACCCTACACCTAACTACAAAATCAAAATCTCGGGAATAGAGCTGAGGAATTGTTCGCTCTCTCCTATGTCTGAATTTTCTTATTTATTATTCTTTAAAATTCCAGCTAATTAACATACGGTGTTACATTAGTTTCAGGTGTATTTCTGAATTTTCTTTATGAAATAGCATCTGTATGCCCACCACAGTCCATTGTTTGTGATACCTAAATTGAGAAAGCTCTAAAAACAGAAGCTTTCCCCCTCAAGTTTATAGCAAAGCCATTTGGCAGCAAAACTTGATGTATTAATCTTAGTGGAAGGATTCACAGACTTTTCTATAGACATATTAGTGCATGTACTTGCTAGTGGGGCACCTGCTAATGGGGTGCTGCTGGAAGTGTTGCTAAATGTATAGTGTCCTACCATACTACCTCCCTAAAATCTGAGAGACAGTGACTTCCAGTGATACACCTGGCTACACTGGTTTTAGACAAGAGATAGTAGACATATTAGAGATACAGACAGGTAGGCATCTAGGTAGGCAGATGATAGATAAATGAGAGAGAAAAAAGTATAGAAAAATACAAACAAACAGAAGAATGCCCATAATCTCTCTACCCAGGTAAACTACTGACATGAAAATAATAAACAAGAGTAATACACTTATAGGCTAAAAAGAGGTGAATAGTAGAGAAAGATGCAAATAGAAATAAGTGGAGTGTAAAACTGTCCCCATGAAGCCTCCCCTCCATATCCTTGGGTGACAGGCTCTGGGGGGAAGCTGCAATTTCCACCACCTCCCCTGGCAACTCCTCAAAGGCTAGTAAGCCGCCTCTGAAGGACTCACAAGAACACCTCCTGCTCCATGGTCAGACAAAGTTCAGCCAGCTCTCAGGGTGAGAACACTTGGATCTTAGCCCCTGCTCTGTCCCCAACTCTGTCCCCAATCTTGGGCAAGTCCCTAGCATCCTCTGGGACTCAGACTATTTTCCTGCAAGCAAGGGATGGGCTGGCTCTCACTTCCAGCAGTCTTTGACCCCAGGAGGTAATGAAAAAGGGCAAAGGGCTTCCTCATCAAATGTCCCGCCTGTGACAAGGCTCCAACATCATGACTCAAGGGGTCACTGAGCTTTGTCCCTGTTTACAGGAACTTTAGCTGTGTGAGAGTAAGTGCCAGCTGCTTCCTGCTGTGTCCACAGAAGACCTTCTCCAGGGCAGACTCCATGACAGCCTTCCCATCCAGCTCTGGTCAGAAAGGGCCACTCACCAGTCGATGCCTTTGTGATAGTTGTGGCCATTAAAAAACTGGATCTCCTCAAAGGTCTCTGAGCTGGGGTAGTTGCTGCTGAGGTCCGGGTGCATGCCCAGGAACAGGTAGAGGGCCGTGGTGCCTGCAAGGATGGAAGGCAGCTGATGGAAGGCAGATGGAAGGCCCAGCCCAGAACACAAAGATGGGAGTCTGAGATCCTGGGTTCTGTGTCCAGCTCTCCATGACTCACTGGGAGATCCTGGGAAAGTCCCTTGCCTTCTCTGGGGCTTAGTTTCTTCATCTGTATAACCAAAGAATTTTACGAAAGCCAGGACAGCAAATACGGGGCATGGGTGTGGGCACCTCCCACTCCTGGCTCCATTGTAGACACCACTAATCAATCATGGCATTTCTAAACACTACATAAGAAATTGGCCTCAGAATCCTTCCCACCCCTATAGTCTAGAAGCCATGCCCAGTTCATTAGTATCATCTCATAATCTCAGAACTAGATGGTTTCCAGGTCTGGGCCTCTGTTCTCTGATATGTGGGAGGAGCTCAGGGAAAAGGTTGCCCCAGACCCTGCAGTCTATGGATGTGAAATTCGTGAAGAGCTAAGAGATTTGGCTCAATTGCCTTCTCTTCTGGGCATCCTTCCCTTACCTACACTTTCTGCCTTACTCGACAGTATAGAACCTACCCCCTCCTTTAGAGAATTCATTCCTTTCCTGTGTGTGTCTATGGTTTGTATGGCATAATGAGATGTCTTGGAAGAGAAGGAGACTATAGAGTTTAGTTTCCTTAAGAGTATAAGCTTTGGGGGTCAGAGAGATAAGGGTCCAAGACTCAGATCTGTCATTTTCTAACTGAATGTGTCAGGGGAGGTCACTTAACTTCTCTGAGCCTCAAGTTTTCTATCTGTAAAATGGGATTACGCATTCATGCTTTACAGCGTGTCTAGACAGCAAATACTTAGCAACCATATCACCACTCCTCCCTCTTGCACCTCTGGCAGACATGACTAATTGATTACAGTCCTCTTTGCACTGAACCAGTTTTGCCTGGCACTGCTCAAATGTGCAGAACAGCTGATCTGGGCTTCTTTGCCTAGACTCAGAGACTCCCAAGAAGAGAGCTCCCTAAGGTTGTGGTTCAGGACAGACAGGAATATTCTACACCCACCTCCACCCCCTCCCCACTTCCATACTGATAGGCAGTTCATGTTCATCCCAACTTCACTCTCACTTCCTGGGGAAAAGGGGGTAGATTGTTGGGGAGTAGAACCAGGGCAAGGTGGTCCCCAAAATTCTATGGCTGAGACAGCAGGCAGTGGGGGATGCTGGCCAAGAGCAAAGAGACTTGCCTGTTTTCTGGGGGCCAATGATGAGGAGCTTTGGGAAGCGGTCACATGTCTTCTCCTTGGACCAGATGTCTTTGTGGCGTTTGTCCTCACAGGGGTCCTAAAACAATAGTGGAAGGAATGTTGGGGGAACGGGCAAACCCAATGAATGGATTCTCATTGCACATGGATACATGGTTCTTACAGTGCTACCAGGTAGAATAACTACATGTGTCCTTGATATATCCCCACCTCAGGACACTGAGCTGCCAGCAAGCAGGGACCACTTCTGGTTAGTCCCAGAAAAATACTCAGCCCAGTGCTTAGCACATAACAGAAGCTCATGGGCCCTTGTTGAGTTTGGATAAGCTGTGTCTAGACCAGGGGTCAGCACACTTTTTCTGTAGAGTTCAGTCAATCTTTTGGTAAGTGCTTAGTAACTACTTGAGGCTGGAGTACTATCGGGTCTCTGTTACAACTACTCAATTCTGTTGTTGCAGCATGAAGGCAGCCATAAACAGTACATACAAGAATGAGCATGGATGGGTTTCAATAAAACTTTATTGACAGAAACAGATTGCAGGCCAGATTTGGCCCATGAGCCATGGTTTATGGACTCCTGGTCTGAATCATGAGACTGTTCCAATTCCAGCTTTGCTTCAGTTTCCAGATTTTGACAGCCTCCAGGGGAGACTTCTTCAAGAACTGCCTGCCAAAACCCTCCCATCAGCCCCTTTCCCATGGTACAGAGCCTACTAGTGTGAGAAGAGACAAAAAGGATGATCTAATAGTCTAACCGGGCCATGCAGTTGCTTTCACCTGCACTTGATCTATACTATGTTCACATATAGTTCTGTAGTCCTTTTTCAGGTATGTGTGAGTGTGCATGCACGTGGGTCTGTGTGGGAAGTGTATACATACCTGTGAGAACAAGTGAGTGTGCCCATGCTGGTGAGCAAGTGCGCACCTGAGTTTACGCTCAAGAGAGAGCACGAGGGGGTGAGGCCCGAGCCCATATCTAGCATGTATGCCTGCGAGTGGTGGGCATTCCATCTCTGCAACAAGACGCCCGGCCCACCACCCCACCCACCCACCTGCCAGAGCGGGTCTTTCTCCTCGGAGAAGATCTGGAAGTACTTCTGGGCCAGCTGCACTGGGGGCAGCGTCTGCAGCCGGAGGTTGGTCCAGGAGTGCAGGAAGCGCACCAGGTGCTTGAAGGTATACAGGCCCAGGCGGTCATTCCCATAGTTGGACAGGTGTGTCATGAAGATGCTGATCTGCTCCAAGGGAGGGAGGGCGGACAGGGCTGGTCAGCATCTGGAGGTCACAGCCCCACCCCACTTTTGACTCTACTGGTCTTGCTGCAGCTTACAGAGTCACTCTATGACCAGTCCAAGGTTCACTAGGGCCGTTAACAAACTCGCTGTGTGACCTTGGCCAAGGCACAGCCTGGTGAACCCAGGGCTGACGGACCACCGACTATCACAACCCTGAAATAGGAAGCTGACCTACTGTGCAGTCATTTTGTTGTTCTTTTGTATTTTTTTGGTGGGGTGTTCATGGAAGACAGGAGTACTCAGTTATCACATAAAGCTGAATGACATTACCACTTGGTAACTACTTAATACTATTAAAGCATGAATCATTATTTCCATTTCACAGATAAGGAAAGAGAGAGCCAGAAAGCTCAAGTGAATAGTTTAAAATATATATATATTATATATATACATATAAATATATATAGTTTACAGATTGATGATTCACCGTGTATATGAGTATATAACAACCATATATTTATACACATACACAAAGACTGGAAAGAGAACACAGACAAAAATATTCACACTATTGCACTGAAGTATGAGATTCTGAAAGGAAAAAGAAAAGACAACTCAGATTCTTTTCCCAAGGTCACACAGCAGAGCAGGGCCACAGCCAGGGGTGCAGAGTGGGTTTCATGACTCCCAGCCCTCATACCTGCTGCCACCCCTTCTCCCCGGGCCCAGGAAAGCCAGCCTCGGGCCACAGACAGGCTGTCCAGCACCAGCCCCTCACCACCAGCCAAGGGCTATGGAGCACTCACAGGATTGAGGAGCACAGTGAGGAAGAGCTCGCCCCCATTGATGATCTTGTCCAGCTCACTGGAGCCACCAGGGTACTCATTGTAGAAGATGGTGTGTGTGAAGAGGCCGCATGTCTGCCGCGGGAGGACCTGGGGATGGGGCAGGGGAGAGCTGTGGCATCTCCAGCCATGGGTGGGGGTAGAAGACCCTTCCTCAGGAGAAGGGCCAGGGTACCTCCTCAGAAAGGCAGCCTCTTGTGTGACTACACAGCCCCCACTCTTGGGGGTCTTCTCTCCCATAGACCTCCTGCAGCCTGTGACATCCCCTCAAGTGAGCCCACAGCCCTTGCCAGTTTACATACTTCAACACTATTCTCTGTAACAAAGTGAGCAGGCCCAAAAGTCACAGAGACAGGCAAGCAAGAATGTTTGCCCAGTGAGGGTCCCTGACCTTCTGCAAAGCAGTCCTCCCAGTCACACTTGCAACCCCCTCACAGCGTTAGAACCTGCCTGGGAACGCTCCCAGTCACACACTGGTTTAACTGTTGATTCTCTGTCTCCTCTCATAAAACTGCACTCCGAGAGAGCAGGGAACTTGCTTGTCTGGTCACTACCTCATCCCCAGAGAAAATATGAATGCCTGATATTGAGGAGGCCAGTGGAAGGAGGGATGCATGGATGGACAGACACGTGGATAGATGGACAGATGACAGCATAAATCTGGCCTTCCCACACATATCCCATCTGGACTGTCGACAGTTCATCCTTCTGGTGGCTTAGGCCAACCCTGGCGTCATCCTGACTCATCTCTCTCCCCCACACCCCACCTCCACCTCACCACAGATCCACCTCACCAGCAGATCCTGTTGGCCCAACCTTCTAAATAAGTCCAGAATCTCATCACATCCCAACATTACACCCTCATGGAGCCACCACTCTCTCATCTGGAAAACTGAAGTGGCCTCCCAACTGGTCTCCCTGCTTCCCACTTTGTCTCCTCCAGCCATACTGACCTCCTAGTTGGTCCTCAACACACAGGCTACCTCAGAGCCTTTGCACTTGTTTTCTCTGCCTTCAATACTTTTCTTCACATAGCAGCGTGGTTCATTCCTAAGAGGGCCCTGCCTGATCACCTTATCTATCTATCATCTCTCTATTTTTAAAGATTTTATTTATTATGAGAGACACAGAGAGAGGCAGAGACATAGGCAGAGGGAAAAGCAGGCTCCCTACAGAGAGCCTGATGCGGAACTCAATCCCAGGACCCTGGGATCACGAACTGAGCCAAAGGCAGACGCTCAATCACTGAGCCACCCAGGTGCCCTCTAATCACTTTATTTAAAATAGCTTCTGCTCTCCTCTGACACTCCCTACCTCCCTTCCCTGCTTGACTCTTCTCCATGGCCCCATCATCACACCATCTGACCATATGTTACATATGCCACACTTTTATGAGCACACTGTCTGCCTCTTGCCCCTAGAATGTCAGGTCTACAAGGGCAGGGACTTCTGTTGGTTCTGTACACTTCTGTACCCCCACTGCTTAGAAAAGGGTCAGACACACAGAAGCTCATTAAAAATGTTTAAACAAGCAAATGAACAAGACAGAGGCCTGTTCCCAGAGGCCCTTTTAAAAAGGATCAGCCCCTGATCCCCCATCATGAAAGCTAAAAAAGAGCTCATGAAAGGGCCAGACCAGCAGCCCACCTTCCCTGGAATGGGGAGAGCCTGGATGCCGGACAGGGGCAGCAGAGCCTGGCCTGAAACCCCTAACCCATCCGCCAAAACCCTGCTTCCCCAGACAGTGTGTGCACCTGTGCCTCTCGGGCTGCCGGGGCCCACTCACCATGATGCCGTTGTGGATAAAGCCACGGCGGTAGCGGGCCGGCTTCAGGTGGGGGTACTCCTCTGTGCTGGTCACGCGGATGCTCCACACCTGCTTCCAGGCCTCGTACAGCTGTACATGCACAGGGTACACCCCCGAATGGTGGGGCGCCACTGCATAGCCCATGTCTGTGGGGATGCCGTGCTCCTGGGGAGAGGAAGCCAGGGCCGGGTGAGTGTGCGGGTCCTCCCCCACTGGCTCTTGTTTCCCCTTTGTAGAATGGGAGAGAAATCAGAGGCTACACTGCCCTGGTGCTACAGATGAAAGCTGAGGCGAGGGGAGGGAAAGGAGCCCCCCCCCCCCGATCGGAGGGAGGGCCTGACCTGACCAAGCTGGGGGGCTCTTGGTCCTCAGCACTGCCTGTGGCCATGCCCTCCAGCACCCAGTCATGGGGAGCCCGGACAGGGGCTTTCCCTGCCTTTCTTGGCCTCTGATTGGCTGGTGGGCCCAGGCTGAGCCCCTACTCGGGCCTCCTTCCCTCTTCTCTGAGTACCAGCTGCAGCTTTCCTGAGCCTCCCACTCCGGGCCCGGAGACAGAGCCTGGCTGGACCTCCTCCCAGCGGGCGTGGTCTTCCCTGAGCTTCCATTTCTTATCTAAAAGTGAGAATATCAACAACCACCTCTTGGGGTCTCTGCGAGGCTTCAGAGAGACAGTGGCTATAGAGATATCAACAAAATGCTGTCAGACGGAACTGCAAAAGCAGCGAGAGGCCAGCAGTCCAGAACCCCCGGCCCAGCCCCTGGCCCACCCAGCTCTGCCCTGTAGAGAATCTTACTCACGACAGCGAACTTCTTGTTCAGGGCCATCTGCTCGGCCAACACCGACTGGTTGTGGAAAAGGTGGGGCTGCATGTGGCTCCACATGTGGGGGAACCACCAGAACTCCTTCACATACGACAGCAGCAGATCATCCCCGGCGTCCTCAGCATCAGTACCTGCAACCAGAGCACCACAGGCAGCTCAGCCCAGCCCACCCGCCGGGAGGCTCTCCAGCCTGAGCTGGCGCCCAGGGAGCAGAGCACCCGGGCACAGCCCACTCATGGGCTGCTAGGGAGGGGTACCTGAACTACAGCATGGGAGCAGCGTCCGGTCCAGGGCCCTGCGTTCTGGTCTAGAGTATGGCCTTCACTCAAAGGGTGACTTTGGCCAAGTCCCTCTCCTCTCTGGGCCCTGGGGACCCATGCATGCCATCCATGGTTCAAAGACAACGATCCCAGAGGTTTCTCCCAACTCTCACATGCCTTCTCTAATACTATTCCTGCTTTCCTATTGGGCCATTTGCCATTTGTCTTTTACTTCACAATCTGAGCAGCTCTTTGTGTATATATATATGGGATGCCTGATCCTGTCTCATACTGTGACTAACACTACCTCTGATAGGCTGAGGGCCGAGAATGTGAAAAATGTATACAGATGACCCAGTATTGGTCCTATTTGGCTTTGGTGCCATGTTGTACCCTTTCTCCCCACAACTACAGAGTATTAGGGTTTTTCCCAGAACTCAAGAGAGGCTTTCCACACTGTGACCCAAACAGAAGGCAGCTACAGGGAACATTTCCTATAGATGACGACTCAGGGGTCTTTCCCTCTTGCCCCGCCCAGAAGGGCAGCATGTGAGGAACTTGGGAGAGCCCAAAACAGGAGGGAAGGCAATGAATCAGGCAACCTACACCTTCAACATTGACCCTTAAGGCTTGAAAGTGAAATGGTCACGGCCATCTCTGGGGCAGGAACAATTATAGGGCATTCTCCGATTCTATGCTACATATTTCTGCAATGCTCTTCAAATCCAATCAATTACTTTTTAAAGCAGACATAGGACAAATAATTTTAAAAGACAGTGGAGAGGGGGCGACAAAAGGATGCCCCCAAAAGACAGCACAGTCCAGGGCACCTGAGTGGCTCAGTTGGTTAAGTGTCTGCTGTCTCCCAGGGTACTGGGATCGAGTTCTGCATCGGGATCCCAGCTCCATGGGGAGTCTGCTTCTCCCTCTCCCTCTGCCTGCTACTCCCCCTGCTTGTGCACTCTCCCTCTGTCAAATATATAAATATAATCTTTTATAAAAATACAAGTAAATAAAAACAAACAAACAAAAAAAAAAACAAAAGACAGCACTGGCTGAAGGACAGGGAGGGATGAGTGAGGGCTGTTGTTGCATTACTGCTGCCCCCAAATGCCCTCTGCCTGGGGCCGTGACTGCTCTGTGGGCTCTGGATCAGGGACAGGCCAACTGGGTCAATGTGGCCTTAATGTGGGTCCATCAACCCACCTGCTGCCCCTGTGGCACAGCATTCCAAGGATCCAGCTGCTGAGGGCCCCTGGATGTTGCTCGTGGGGGCAGAGCCAGGCCCACTTACCTGTGTGGAAGAATTTCCCTGAGTAGCCCAGGTTGAAGGTAAAGTTTGGGATGTGTGTGCGTAGTTCATTCTGCGTATCAAACAGGGCCTAGGAGAGGCAGAGGAGGAGGAAGTGGGTGAGGTGGAAGCCAGGAGCTCCCTGTTCTTCCCACTGAAGGCCCAGAAAGATCCTATTGTTGCAGGACCACCTGCAAGGTTTGCTGGGTCCCACAAAAAATAAAAATGTGGGCTCTGGCTCCAAAACTATTTAAATGTCAAGAAGCCCATGGCAGAGCGCTAACCTCGTGCAGGCCCCTTCTGAGTGCAGGGTCCCACATCCAGGAAGCCAGCCCTGGGCTGCCACCTGCACCAGGTCCCTGGCCAGAGAAGACCTGGCTCCAGCCGGCTCTGCTATGCATCCTCCAGAAAGCTTTGTGACTGCCTGAGGCCTCAGTTTCCCCAAGTATGAAATGCAGATGGTAATTTCTCTCCGGGTGCTTGAACGAGACCCTGCATGTCAAACTGCCCGACATGTTGGTAAGTAATGTGAAATGGTGGCATGGCTGGGTGCATGGTCACGGCCACTGTGAGCCTTGTATCTAAGTCTGGCAAACATGGAGGGTCTCTCCCAGTGAGCACAAGGCTGATGTCCCAGGATCATGATTTTTCCAGAGACGTACTGCGAACCCAGCCACGCAATGTCCCCGTGCATGGCACAGGCCATGCTGGGCAAGCCAAAGAAGGGACGTGGACGCTTGTAGAACAAACACACACTTGTACTCTGGAGTCAGGACTCCAAAAGTCCCCACCCTGCACACAATGCACAAGGCTGCCAAGAAACCTGCAAGAAGAGCCAGCCATCAGACTCCAAGTCTGCAAATAGAAACCCTTCCTGTGGCCACCATCAGCATCTTACCAAGGCCATGCACTACCTAACAGACAGGCATGCTCTAGCTGTGTGGCCTTGGGCATGTTACATCACCTCTCTGAGCCTTAGTGCCTTCCTCTGTAAAATGGGACTTGCAATGGTGCTCATTGGGGCTGCTGAGGATCAGCCGAGGCAATACAGAGAGGGCTAAGCATAGAGCTTGGATTTGCCAGCCCTGAAAAAGCACCTGCTGCCCCTATGGCCTAAACTGCAGTGCAAGACAGTACTGTACAAGTTAAGGAGGTGACATTCATGTCCCTGAAAGAAAGGCTTAGTTGCAGCCTGTGCTTGAGATTAAGGGACAGGGGAGGGAGAAAAATCTCTGCCCTTTCAGACCCACAAGGATCTTTAAGGCGAATGGGACCCTGGCTGGAGGAGCACCTGGCAGTCTACCCTGAGCCGAGCACACGGAAGAGGGTGCCGCTGTTAGTATTCTTCTACAGAAATAGCTCCAAACTGCTCTCATCCCTCTCACTGTAAAAGAGAGGAAAAGAAGAACCAAGCAGGGCAATCTCAGGCCCCAAGAGGGACACAGTGAGCCTGGTAGCCTGGTTTCCTTGCGGGATCAACACTGAACCAGTCTCAAGGACTCAGCTGGACAGGCAGCAAACACTGAGGTTACAGCAGGAGAGAATGGGAAGCACACCGTAAGTAGAAAACAGAGCAATTTGCTTTGTTAGACGTGGGCTATGGCATCGCATGAAGCATCAGGAACTGGAGAGCCTCCACAAGGAACAGTCTTAAAACTCTTTCAACAGGACGGCCCTCGGCCCTCAAGGAAGCGAAATCTCAAGTAGCAAACACAAAGTGTAAAGCGGATCAAAGCGACACTGCCCTGTCCCACAAGGTGGAAGCTGGGAGGACTCAAAGCCTGGCCCGTCTGCACATGCCCCTCTGTAGAACCCCCAGGGTGGGATGGGGAGGAACAGCCTGAAAGCTTCCAATCTGCCCCTCTTGTCAGTTCACCACTGAGGTTCAGACATGGGAAGGGATGTGGCCAAGAGTTCCAGTTAATTAAGGGTCAAATTGATCTTGACTCTCCAGACAGCGCCTGCTCCCCAACACCACCTGCCACACTCTTCTCCTCTGGAGGTGCGTTCACTCCTGCCCCAGGCAGGAGGACTAACGCTCCCATGGCCTTCCTCCCGGGCTCTGGGGTGAACCCAACAGTGACTTCAGGAGGACACGGGACACAGTACCCACAACCAGATTCACTTGGGAGGAAAGCCCTCCTCTTAGAAGTCTCTTTTGCAATCCTAACATCAAAGAGGAGTCGGTGTTAATATGTCCTAACACTTGCTAATCTCCTAAGGGAGGACAGGGTCAACAGGCAGCAGTATCTCTATAGAATTTAATCCCTTGGTTTTGTTTTCCTTGGATCTACTGTGGTCCTTGCCCTCTATTTGTGGCAACCAGTACTGATTCCCCCCCCACACACACACCCCCTCCCGCATACGCTAGTTATGTCTTTTTCTTTGCAAAGAACTTTGCAGTAAAATAAGAGACTAGATGAAAACTGCATTTTAAAGCCGACTTAATGGTCTTAATTTGTAGGCTTCTCTTTAGTAGTGCTGCATGCGTGTAAAATTTCGTGGTCTGCAAAATGCTTTTACATGCAGTTTAGTTTGGTAAACACTTTTTTAAATAAACACATGCACTCCACTATTTATATAGACCTCAGTGAAAATATGTCCGTGTATGATTCAAGCTCTAATTCTTGTTTCAAAAGTTCTGTGGGAGCTCTGGAACTGACATAAACATTTTCAAGAGTGAAAAATCGCCTCTGGATTAAAAGGCAGATAAGCAACCCCGCATAGCTTCAGTGACCCGGGTCTCTCCCTCTGCGTGTACATTTCTGAGCTTCACCTGGCAGATGCAAAATTCTTCTATATTCAGTACTTCTATGTAATGTTCAGTGACACTTTTGTCTAGTCAAACAGTTACTAAAACCACCTGGCCGAGGAAATGGGACGGGGGTGCTCACAGCACTGGGGAGAGGCAGACAGGGAAGCCACGATGGGGCATCCCCAGGGTCGAAGGCTGTCAGGCACCCCCCACCCCAACCTGTCTGGCACCCCCTCCCCTGGCCATACCTTCACATCCTCCACCTTCATGCGCGTGCCCTCCTTGCCCACAAAGATGTCATCGATGTCCACCAGGATGTAGCGGTCCAGAGGCAGCGAGAGGCGCTTGCCCGTCAGGAAGGCCACAGCATCGACGAAGACCAGCTTGTGCAGCCAGAAGTTGAGGTTGTTGCCAAAGAGCACGCGCTGGATGCCGTCGTGCAGGCCCAGGTCCTGGACCACCGTGGCGTGCAGCGCGGCGTGCAGCCCGGCGTCCGCGCCCAGGTGCGGGATGGACTCGGAGGAGCGCGTCTTGGCCAGCAGCACCGGCTCGTAGGTGGAGTGGTTCGACTGGAACACCGTCCAGTCCTCGCCGGGCAGCACGCCCTTCTCCACCTCGCTGGGCCGCGTCACGTAGAGCAGCGGTGACTTGGGGTTGATGCTGCAGTCTTTCAGGCCCAGGTTGGAGTGCAGGAACAGGGGGAAACCTTTGAGCTGCGCGCTCAGCAGGCTGTTCTCGTTGGCCTGCAGCCAGGGTGGGGAGAAGGGAGCAGAGCTCTCAGATCCAGAAGCCCCGAGGGACTGCAGACCCTCAGGTGGGGACCGCTAACAGTCATGTCAACAGTACTCTCTAATGCTCACGGAAGCCTTATCGCATCCCGGGCCCCGTGCTAAACGCCCTGGTGCAAACCCAGCTCCGCCAGGCACAATAATACATTAGCACCATGTGCTGACCAAAGCCAGAAGCCCAGGTCGCCCACCTGGCATGCAGGGGTGCTATTAATACTCACAGTGACCCCACAGCCGAGGTGTCACTGTCATTCCCATCTTACAGATGAGGAAACTAAGGCCCAGAGAGGCTATGTAACTTGCCCAAAATCACACAGAGAAAAGTCTAGCAGCTGTGAGCCCTGACTCCACCGCCAGAATGCCTGGCCTTGGGCAAGTTTTGCAACCTCTCAGTGCCTCCATTTTGTCTGCTGTAAAATGTACCTCATGGGATGGTAGACGATGATGAGAGTTCATCCTGGCTAAGTGCTCAGGACGGGGCCGGAGGCAGAACCAATTGCTCTTTCGGTCCCCATACCAGTCTCAGGAGGCAATTCCTGTGTTATCCCACTTCATGGGGGAGGAAACAGGCTGTCCTCGGTTGGGCAGGGTCAGGAAGAGCCATGCCCCTGGAGATGATCTGCCCCTGGAGCCCACACACCTGGCCACCAGGCTCCCCTACTGGGCTTTGCCAACCGGCTCTTACCACACCATCCTTTCCTCAGGAGAAATCTTAGGTCGGTGCCAATGCAGAAGACAGCAAAGAGGAGGTGTCTGCTGGGGGTGCAGGACCAAAGCCACTCTGGCCCACAGTGTCCTCAACCCTCCAAATGCACCTAGCACCTAGCCCAGTTCACTGCACCTCCCTTCTCTTCCCAGGGCCTGGTGCTATCCAGCTCCCTGGGATCTGCAGGCAGTACCCATGGCACTCCCCCCTTGTCGTCTTCCCTAGGCTCATAGCTCCTGCTCCTTCATACCATCCCTCCCCCTCCCAGCCACCTGCTGCTGAATATAACACAATTTGTTTTTGTCCCTGTGTCAGCTCCATTCTATTTTCTTGGCCTGACAAACTCCTGTTCATCCTTCAAAACCCAAAGCAAATACACTCTTCTTTGCACTGACCTCCCTGGAACCAGGTTAGAGCCTCATCTGCAGCACTTATCACCTTGGCCACTGCATTATCTTCTGTTCAGAGTCTCTCTCACCAGTCTGCCCTCTTGAGGGCAGGAGTTGTATCATTTCCACCTTTGGATCCCCGGTGCCCTAAACAGGCTTGATGTCCAGTGGGAGCAAACACATGTTTGATGAGCTAACTGGGTTTGTTTTTTCTTTTGACAGGTGGGGGGGGTGTGGACAGAAGGAGAGAAGAGAGAGGTGAGAGGCTCCATCTCACAACCCTGAAATCATGACCTGAGTTAGAAATCAGGGTGATGCTTAACAGATTGAGCCATGAGTTAGCTGGAGTTTTAGAAAGAATAAAAAGGAACAGTTCCCTAGTACCTGGCACCTGACAGATATTCAATACGGGTTTCATTTGTTCATTCCACAGCTATTTACTGTGCCAGGTACTATGTTAAGTGCCAGGGATATAGTAAGGCAATATAGACGTGACTCCTGCCCTCATAACCTTAAAATTAAGCAGAGAAGAGAGGCAGCAATCAAAATCACAGAAATAAATATAAAACTTCAGTATGACAGGATGCCTGCGTGGCTCAGTGGTTGAGTGTATGCCCTTGGCTGAGGTCGTGATCCCAGAGTCCTGGGATCAAGGTCCGCACTGGGTTCCCCGCAGGGAGCCTGCTTCTCCCTCTGTCTATGGCTCTGCCTCTTCCTCTGTGTCTCTCATGAATAAATAAAATCTTAAAAAAACAAAACTTCAATGTGGCACATGCTACACAGAGCAAGTTCATAGATCCTGAAGAGTCAATAACTGGCCATAGTCAGCTGGCTCAAAGACTTCCTGGAGAAGGGACTTTTGAACTAAGATTTAAAGATAAGTATCAACTAGGGAAAAGTAGGAGTCCCATTCAAAAAACAGCAAGTCCAAAGGCTCTGAGGAAGGAGAGGGCTCAAGGAATAGCAAGAGGCCAGCGGAGTGATCAAGAAGGAGAGGAGGAGATGAGCCAGAACGGTCAGGCAGGGCCAGACCTGGGACCCCGGAGGACTGGAGTGGCAGCGGGAAGCCATCAAAGACTCTATCAAAGGGTTTCAAACAGAGGGATGACAGCTTCCAATTTGCATTTTAAAAAGATCCATCTGGCTTCGGTGTGGAGAATGAGTGGGGTGGGGCAAAGCAAAAGGGGACCAAAGGAGGGCACCAAAGGAGTCTGGAGAGAAAGGTAGGAGAGTTATACCAGGCCATCCAGGAGAGCCAGCCAGGTGAGCACTGCCCAAGGATATTCAGCTGAGGGCCGAGCCACATGCCCCAAGTGGAGCTGCCTCTGCCTAGATGGTGTCTTTTGCTAATATCCACCACGCAGGAGTGCTTGTTTCAAATTCCCACAAAGGCTCTGCAGGGCTCTGGCTTTGTAAAACGCCAGAAAGAACGTGCATTCAATCCTCCACACACCAGTACTTGCCCATGCCCCACCCTCTCCTGAGCCTGAGTGTTAAGACCCAATGCAGAGCGCCAGCCCGAGAAGTCACTCCGCCCGGCCCCAGGGTCCATTGGATCCCAAAACCAGCGCTCAGGCTACGAAGCCAGCACTTGGGCTATGTGTGGGCAGAGCCAGTGGGGTCCAGTGACATTTCAGGCCCTGTCCATCACCTGCTGTGGCCGGGGAGGCCACACTGGACTGCAGGCACTAGGGGATCCCATTTCAAAGCCCCGTTCCTGAGCTGACTGCCAGGTGCTGGCGGTTCAGCCAGCTGCCCAGTGGGGAGACATGAAGGAAGGGAGAAAGCCAAGTTGCTAATCACCCACCCCCGTCGGCAATGGAAGGAGCCAGTTGGGGAAGGATCAGCATCCCAGGGACCAACCCCTACAGTGGGCCTCAGCCCACCAGAAAGGAACCCCTCTTGCTCCTCAGCACCAAGGACTCACTCCGGAGACACCAAATCTCCCAATAGATTCATGCAGGCAGAGAGGCTCTGGAGTCAGGAGATTGGGACAATTGCAGGAACCAGGGTGACCAAGGAAGATCTGCCCCCCCACCCTCAAGGACCTCATAGGGGTGCATGTTAGAGCCACAAGACAGACAAAAGTGACCACCGGCTGTGTTTGCTGAACATGGGATGACAAAGCAAGACACTTCCATTCATTGGGTGGCTCAGGGTACCACCCACTGCATCTTCCACATGGCCCAGTGAGGGAGGTGCTATGATAGGGCCCACTTTACAGATGGGTTGAATATCCTGCCCCAGTCGGAAAGATTTGAACCGGAGTCTGGACTTTTCAGCCCCTGCTCTTACAGTGACCTGGGAATCCAGCACCGGTGGGAATTGGAAAGTGTGGGTCTCCAGGCTTCTGGAGTCCACAAACCCTCTGGGTTTGACGAGCCCAATGCACAGCACAGACGTGGGCCTTGTGGAAAGAGCCAAAAGATGGAGCTTAACCACCAGATGGCTCTGTCTGAGCAGAAAGTCACAGGCCTTTGCTCAAGACCAAGGAGGGGTCTGGTCTTAAGCAATATGGTAGGAAGAGCACGAAGACTGGAATTTCCACCAACCTCACAGTAAGACTGTGAGCCTGTCCCTGCTCCCTAGGGGCTCATGTTCACCTTCTGTAGAGTGAAGAATTGGGGCTAGATGGGATCCAAGCTCTGGTGTACCAACTGTGCCCAGTGACCACAGCCCACTGTCTGGTCTCCAGAGACTACGGAAGCTCTGGGTGCTGATGTAAATTCTACTCCATAAGCCACATTTGAGGCCCTGGACTCATCACAAAGTGGTTACGACTAAAGCCTCTGCAGCCAGACTGCCCAGGTTCAAATCCTGGATCTGTGCTTCCTAGAGGATGAGGGGAGGCACACTTCCTCATCCCTCTTTGCCTCAGTTTCTTTTTCTCTTAAAGCAGAATGATATCCACCAGCCTCAGAGGATGGAGGGTGAGTGTTAGGTGAGTTCATTCTTCACACAAAGCACAGGGACAGTGCATGGTGCTGGGTGAGCACTCAATAAATGTCAGCCATTGTGATGTTCTTCAGGCCTGGGGCTCTGAATCAAACTTAATGAAGTTCATGGCAGGGAATGGAAGAGTCCAGGAGAAAAGAAAAAACAGACAATAAAGGCAGTCTGAGGTTATGCTACTGAAAAGCCATAAACCAGGCCAGCATTTCCCAGAGGATGCTCTGTGAAATAAAGGGCTTTGTGATCAAACCAGCTGGGGAACAAATCTCACCAGGTTGCTCTACTGCAGGACTTCTAAGGGCCTTCAATTTCTTGGCCCATAAAATCTTCTTTTGGTGGCAGAGCATCCTGCTGCATTAATGCATGAAAGAACACATGGTGGGAACCCTTCGCCTGGACCAGGCTCCTCCCTACACCAAGCACAGGGCCCTGTGCACAGGGGTGCCCACGAATGCCTGGGGACACATGGGCACCCGTCAGCAGACACGGGCCACTTCTGACCCACCCCTGCTCCTCTCCCAGCTCATGCCAACCAAGAACCTGCTTTAGGATCTGTGCACTTACTGTTACTTCTGCCTGGAAAGCCCTTTGCACAGAGAGCCATGCGGCTCCTCATCTCACATCCTTCCAGTCACTTTGTCAAAGACATCCTTCTTGGCTAGCAAAAACAGTGTCATACCCATACCCATCACTCCCTATGCCCTTTCCCAACTTTATTCCTTCTTGTACTTATCACCACTTGCCACATGGTATGTTTACTTGTTCACACTGTCTGTCACCCACTCCACCCCACTGCACTGAAATGTCAGCTCCGTGACAGGAGTGACTCTGCACTCTCTGATCACCACTCTGTCTCTGGTACCTAGCAAAGGACTTGGAACACAATAAGCACACAGTAAATATTTGCTGAATGAAGAAACAAATGTCTCCAGGCACCTACCTAGAGTCCCTACCACCCATCTTGAAGATGAGAGTCCTCTGGTCAGAGCCTCTAGAGTCCCCGATCCAGCTGTTCCAACCTTCTCCTCCCCACGGACAGCTTCTCCATGACACTTTCAGCATAGACTCTGATCCCAGCAGTCATTATGGGTGCCCCACAGAGCCCAGAGCAGCTTACCTGCTGTTGGGATTCCTCTCTCCTCTTTCTTCCAATGCCACACGGCTCTGTTCAGGAAATCCATAAATGCCACAGCCCATCATAGCCAGAGGAAAGAGTCCGGGATCCAGAGGCCAGACTAAGTCTGAGTTCAAATCGTGGCTCTCCCACTTAAAGGCTACCTAGCCTCAAATACGTAACCTTCCTAAGCCTTGGTTTTCCCGTCTGCAAAATGAGGACACACCCTGTCCCTTAGGAAGACTGCCATGACAATTAAGGGACCAAGCCTCTCCTAGCTCACACCCATTCCCAGGGCTTCCTTTAGGCGTGTGACTATTGTGTGCCAAGTCCCATGCATAGCAGGCAATCCGCCTGCCATGCACTTTATGCCATGCATAAAAACTAATATTTAAAAAGCACTTATTAGACAGGTTGTGTGTGTTCCAAGCGCTTTACACATACTCATCCACTGACCCTTCACGACAATCCTAGGAGGTAGGCGCTACCATTATACCCATTTCACAGATGGGAAAAGTCAGACACTTGGATATAGAGTGTAGAAATGGGACTCAGAATCAGCCAGAGCTATGAACCGCTTGGGGACCCCAGCCCTGTGTACCTTGAAGAAGCCGATGATGCCCACGCCGTAGGCCACACAGTACTTGTCCAGCAGCTCCCGGTTCCAGGCGTCCAGGTTGACGTACTTGAGGATGTTCTCATAGATGATGAGGGCGAAGCGGCCACGGCCCTTGTCGGTGAGCGTGGGCATATCGCCCTTGCCCGGCGCGATCTCCGTGCGGTACTTGAAGCGGCTGGACTCCAGGATGGCCACGACCTCCTGGCCCAGCTGGGAGTAGAGGCTCTCCACAAACACCAGCACCAGCGGGTCCGTGCGGGAGGGGGCGGCCGCCTGCATGGGCTTGAGAGGCAGCAGGCGGCTGGGGGCCACGGGGGGCGGGTCCCCACAGTCAGGCTCGGGGGCGTCCGCCGAGGGCTCCAGGCCCCGCTTCCAGCCATACAGGTAGTAGGCCGAGACAAAAACGCTGAAGAGGCAGAAGACGAACAGCAGGAAAAGGACAGCCTGCGGGGACACGTGCCGACACAGCCTCCGGAGGCGCGCCAGGGCGGGCATCCTGGCCCCCGAGACCTCGGCCGCCGGGGGCCCGCCTGCCCTGGCCACCCCCAGGCCCCACGCAGGAGGAGACACCAGAATCGTCCACTGGCCAACAAATTCACAGACGCTTAGCAAGCGCGGCCCTCGGTGGGTAGCAGGAGGGGAAGATCCGGGCCCCCGGCCCTTCCTCCCAGCCAGGGGCACAGTCCGCAGGCCGGTCGCGCTCCTTCCTTCCTCCGCGCCCCTTTATGTCACCATGGCAAAGCCCCACGTGGTCCTGTGCACAGAAGAAGTGCCCCCAGGGCGTCAGGGCCTCCTGAGGATGCTGGGCAACAGGCCGAAGGACTCTGGGCAGGCCCGGGGGTGCCACATGCCGCTCACTCAGTGGGGCCCTCGGGGCCAAGGCTGTGGAGAGAAGAGGAGAGCCACAGGTGAAAAGTTGGAGTATGGGCTTTCCAGGGGGTCCGCCGACTGTGGACACACAGGCCCTGAGCTCACGAGTCCACGCTCAAGTACTGCTGCCCAACCTGTGTGATTTCACACAAGCTTCACATGATCTCTCTGAGCCTCAGTTTCCCTACTTGTGAAAAAGGGCTGACAATAGTACCTGCCTCACAAGAGGTTCGGGGCTTACTTCCCTACCGCTAAGGTGTATGATGTGTATAAATCACTTAGAGCAATACCGAGCATATGGTGTCTACGACGGTGGTTGTTATTTATTATAATTATCAGAGTCCAAGACGAGGCCAAGCAGATCCCAGGTCCAGAGAGGACAAAGTGAAACAAACCTTTGCAAGGCCTGGGAGCTAGAGGTGGAATTCTAAATTGCAGCTGAACACCCCACCCTTGCCGTCTCCTCCTCTCCCACAGTGCTTTCCCACACATTTCTCTCTCTGAATGGGCCGAGCAGCCTCATCAGGCAGCCAGAACTTGGGGATCCTGGGTCCTGCTCAGCCCCATCCCCCACCCAGAGTAGGCCACCTGTATTGGTCTCACTGAGGAGTAAATGAAGACTGTACCCCACATCCACTATACTAAGGCCCCAATTTCCTCACCCCAAATAGCAGCCCCCAGTCTCCCTTACCTGAGTGCTGGAGGCTAGCAGGAGAGAGAGAGGGATGGGGACAGGGACAGAAGGCGCGAGGGTCTGGGCAGGCACAGCCAGGAAGACAATGGAAGCCTCAGACCCAGACCTGGGGGTGAAGATTTTGAAAATCCCTCCCAGGCCCAAGATCCAGTGCACTGAGTGTTGGCACAACATACCAGAGACCCAAAACTGCACTTCTAGGAACTTATTATCCCAGAGGTTGTAACTCCAGAAGTGTGTAATGATTTCCCCACAAGAATCCAAATCCCAATGCTGTTTATAATAGTGAATGCTCAACAACAGGAGATTGTCCTTAGCAATTATGATGCAAGTACCAGATTAGAATCCCCGGCAGCTGCTTACAACTTTTACAAGATACGGAAGAAGGACATTTACTGACATAGAAATATAATTGCCATACATGTTGTTAAAGTAGAAAACATTTATTTATTTATTTTTAAATCTTATTCATGAGAGACACAGAGAGAGAGAGGCAGAGACACAGGCGGAGGGAGAAGCAGGCTCCATGCAGGAAGCCCGATGTGGGACTCGATCCCGGGACTCCAGGATCACACCCTGGGCCAAAGGCAGGCACTAAACCGCTGAGCCACCCAGGGATCCCTGTAGAAAACATTTATAAAACAGAATGCATGGTTATATTTCTGCTTAAAATTGTTATGCATAAGCTAGAAACTGGTTTTAAATCCAAACAAAACTCCAAAATGTTAAAAATTATCATATCTGAATGATTTTTATTTTCTTCTTCTTGTTTCCTAGATTTTCTACCATAATCATTTACTATTTTTGTGAAAATAAGGAAACAAATGTTTTTAAAAGATGTGCTCAGGGGCACTGGATGGCTCAGTCAGTTAAGTATCTGCCTTCAGCTCAGGGTATGATCCCAGGGTCCTGGGATTGAGCCCCATGTCCGGCTCCCTGTTCAGTAGGGAGTCTGCTTCTCTCTCCCTCTACCACTCTCCCTGCTCATGCTCTCTCTTTTTCTCCCTCTCTCTGCCAAATAAATAAAATCTTAAAAAAAAAAAAAGATGTGCTCAGAAGCAAGAGGCAGGAGTGTGAAATGAGATGAGGATATGTCTCAGATACCAGTGCTGCTCCCAGTTCTGCCAATGACATGTTATGTGATAAGGAGCACGCCCTAACCCCTCTGGGCTTCCAGCCTGTTTGGGAGGAGCTTGGGCCAGACAATCTCAGGGGGCTCTTCCGCTGCTGATATTCTTCAATTCAGTCCTTATTATGTATGTGCCAGCACATGGGGAACCCAAGGCAGCCAAGAAAACAAGCACCTACAATGCAGCGGGACGAATGTGATAGTGGGGGAAGGGCATTTGAGAGAATTCAGGGGCACTTAACACTGTTGTAAGTGAGGAAGATCACGGAAACTTCCTGGAGGAAGTGGTACCTAAACTGACCAGAAGAACAAGTGCTAGTTGGCCAGGGGTAGGAATGGGGAAGAGTACATGCCTCAACTTGGAGACAAGGGACTGTGCAGAGCTTTCCAGGGACTCCTTGCAATTCTAGCTGAGAGCAGGGCAAGAAGGGACAGGTTTCCTGGCCGGAGGCTGGAGGGTTGAGGTGACAGGCCTGTTTATTCCCAGGTTGCAACTGCAGTCCTATTTCCCACTGATAAGGGTAGCCCTCTGCCCTGTGGCCATAGTAAGCCCCACCTCTTGGCCTTGGGGCTAGGACCTGATCACAGTGGGTAGAGGGGTACAGCTACCTGGATGATGCCCTATCTGTCTGCCATGCCTGGGAGCACCTGGCCACTCCGGCCACCCAACCGTGCTTCCCCTGCAGGCCTGGGTGCTGTGATCACTGGCCCTTGGTCGATTGCATTAACAGACTTTTACTGTTAATGATGCAACCAGCAGTCTCAGGCATCTGGGGGTCATAGACCCCTGTGGGACTCTGACAACATTTTCCTATAAAAAATATTCATATATCCTGGAAAATCTTGAAACAATTTCAAGGAGTCCAGATTTCATGCCCTCAAACCCACCCATGGACCTAAAGCCCTACATTAAGAAAGCCTTATGGTTACACAAAGACCGGAAGCCGGCAGCTTTATTCAAACCCAAGCACCACCTCCCAGGAGCCCTGTGATCTTGGGCAGGTTATCTAACTTCTCAGTGCCCCCAATTTCCTAATCTGTAAAACAGCAAAGTTTGACATGCTCCCAGAGTTCTGAAAATTAAATGAGTTGATACATATAAAGCACACAGACCATGTCTGGCACCCAGCACCACATGAGGGTCAGCCACAGTGTGGGTAATAACTGAGCCCAGAAAGCACGGTCAAGCCAACTCCAGGCTCTCTCTCTAATCTCTGACAGCCAGTCCTCAGAATCCCAAATCGCCATTTTCAGAGGCCGTGGCCTTTCCCTGGAGATGGATGGAGGAGCAGGAACCAGATGGTTAGAGGCCAGAAGGCCAGGGAGAAAGCCATGGCAAAGCCTGGGCTCGGGAGAGGGTAAAGGGAGAAAGAGAGTGGGTCAACTAGCCCCAGGCCCCAGAGAAGGCTAAATAATACTCTGGGGTGGGGTGGGGGGCAGGCAAGATGCTGCTTCTTGTACAAAGTGCCAGCCACCAGCGTGCTGGCTAGAGGAGCCTCCAGCACTGCCCGCCCTCTGCCTCTGCAGCCCCCTTGAAGGCCTAGAGGCAGCCATTCAAGACCCTCCACACCCACTTGCATTCCAGAGCCCCTGTACTCAAGGATGGAAAACTGGGGGGCTTCTAATCCCCCCGGAGCCACCAAGTCCTCCAGGACAGCTGGAGGCTGAGGCCTCGACGCCCCCCGCCCCCAGCCCTGCTGCCCTGGGCCTGCCTGAGTCTTGCGGACTTTGCCAGCAGTTTTCCTAAACTCCAGCCTCGCCCAACCAGTCACCAATCTTGGTCATGCATTTAGGCCTTTGCTAACGAACTTCCCATTGCCGGAATGCCTCCCCCTCCCCCTTGGGACACTTACTCATCCTCCAAGACCCCAGTTCCAATGTCATCACCTCTCTGAAGTCATCCCCATCCACCCATTCCTCAGGCTTCTACTGGCCCCATCCCCACTCCATAGCTCGGGATGGGAAAGTCAGGACCCCCTCCCCCCCAGGCTAAAACAGAACACAAATGTGCATTCTTTGGCTTGCACAGCATTTTTCTTAAATTTGAGATTAGTTATCGATATTTCAAAATCAGGAGATTTCACATAAGTTAGGACTTCTAACTTTTCTTTAAAAAAAAACATGTTTGGTTGACACTGGGCACACATCCTCACAGGCCAGCATTGACTGAGGCATGTATTCTCCAGTTAACATGGTCCCACAGCTGACCTCCTTCCTTCATTTGGCTTCCCGCCCAGTCCCTGGGTGCACCTGAGCATGAGGTCCATGCACCATAGACTTGAGGTGTTTCTATACACAGCTCCGCACCCTAGCCTTCAGGTCCCAGGGCGGGACCAGGACTTATTGACCTCTGCCGGGGCAGGCCCTGCCTGGCACCTGGTGCACAGAGGCCCTCCACAAATACTAATTTCATTCCTTCTCCTTCCCCACATGCCTGGGTGCCCCAAAGGGCAGGGACAAGTCTGATTCATTGTGGAAGCCCCGCCGATCTCCCCAGGCAGAGGTCGTCCTAATTGAGTACTCAGGATATAAATGAATCATAATGAGTTGTTATTACTCCCAATTTACAGATAAGAAGACTGAGGCTGCAAAGTGAAATGCCTTGACACAGTCACACAGGAAACCGCTAAATCTTGACTCAAATAGGTTTTCTTCCTAACTTCAAATTTGGTCTTTTATTCCTCCACAGGGAGCCCCTCCAAGGGGGCAGCTATAATAAAAATAGTATCAGTGATACCATTATAATCATCATCATTGTTATTTTCACTGCTACATGTATCAAGCACTTACCATCAGTCTGGCACTGGGTTTATTTAACACTTTTACACACCTTACCTCATTTAAGCCTTATAACTACTACTGTCACTATTTACATTTACAGTTGAGGAAAATGAGGCTCAGAGAGGTTAAAGCACCTGCCCAAAATCACACAGCTAGCCCGTGGCAGAACTGAAATTTGAACCTAGACTCCTGGAGAGAGGCAGCTCCAGAGCCTGGCAGGGACACCTTGGCTGCGACGGCGGAGAGCAGGAGGGGGCCTCAGCCACCAAGGCCTCTAGCCCTCGGCCAGGCTCCCACTGCGCTCTCCCAGCCCTAGGATCAGCTCTCCCTGCCAAGGTGCTGGGGATAATGAATGAGATGCTCTTGTCGTCATGGAGATGCCATGGCAACGCTGCACTTTCGGGAAAT